TGACTATTGACAGAATTCTTGTTTGTTTTCCCATCTCAGTCATGCATACAAATTAAAAGGGAAAAACTTCCCAATTTGCTTCTGTGAGTGTCTTAAGAATATAAGCAGTCACTTAAACAGAAGGATGAAAACTTAAGACTGTTGACTACTTACTTGTTGGCCTTCTTGATAGCCTCAAATATAAAGACGTAGCTGTATATGATAGCAATCAAAGGAATGAAAAAGACAAAGCAGAAAAGCAGCATTGTGTAGGCACGGACTGACGGTGTGAAAGTCATGTAGTCCCAGGAACAGGAAGTCAACAGACCCTCGGGGACATACGCACCTGGAAGGAAAGACGGGAGAAGGCATAAGCCATGACGTGATTCTTATTCTGAGTGCAGAAGTTAAAAATACTCAGAATAACAAGGATTTAATCCTGTCTCTTCGAGGGGAAAAGAGGTTAAAAGCACACACGATTCTTTGTTTGAAGCACCTCATTTCATTTTCTTTTACTCTGTTGCCCTATTGTATTTATGTTGAGCAGTCTAAGGTTTCAGATGGGAAACCCGGATCATTTCATTTGAGTTCTTGAATATTGTTTAAAGCTCAACATAGTCAAAGGATATCTCTCCAGGATACTTCAGTGGGTCTTGGATCAGACCTATATTGTTTTAAAGTATTTCCATTTCCTGTCAAATTGCTGTCTTCCCAAGGAGTGAAATGAAACTGATTGCTATAGCTACCGCTTTTTTAAGCTCGTGCAGGTAAGAGAAATTTACTGTGCAAAGGAGAGAGATTCATTGTGCAGATGAAATTAATTTTGAAGTAAAGTTGAGTACAAGTAAAAAAAAAATCATACATACATAATATTCTGCCTGAAATAAAATATAATCTCCTTAAAGGAACTGTGTCAAACTGTTAAGTCAAAAAATTGTCAACAGCAATGTCTTTTTACCTTTGTATTTTAATTTTCACTGTTTACAGTGATATCTTCTGTTGAACTCTTAAAAATATTGCACCAGCTGTGCTCAGATGCATCTAATTACCGTATGAGAGTTAGTACTGTGGGTACTATTAGAATCTAATTACAAGATAACAACACCCTTCAAGTGATTATTCCACCTTCTCCAATTAAGAATCTAGAATCTAAGACAATATTGTCATTTTGTTGTTTTAACAGTTCCTCATTCAACTAAAGGCTGTTTCTCCCCGTATTGCAGTTTGCCTGCTTAAACATGCTTCATGTTTATGGGCGACCAGAATGACAATAACAAGACAATAAGAAAAATCTGCTGAAATTCCACTCAGTAACTGAGTTGGTTGCAGCATCCTTTGGGAAAATCAAACATTGCCATGTTCTCACCTCAGCTGAGCTGACACATTCTCTTCTGGAATTAGCACAATAATGGGCTGGGGTTTTGAATGATGAGTTCATTCCAACTTACTGACTGAGAGTGGTGACTCATAGGAAGCAAATTAATGGTAGTGAGGCAGATTCAAATGAGGAAGAATAACAGGAACTCTGTGACAAGTTGCAAGGATCAAGATGCTGTATGTGTGTTCCAATTTGCAGGCATAAAATTCACATTTACAAAAGCAAATTAGTTAGTTAGTACTAAATGCCATCCTTATTGGTAGCCTTAGTGAAGATCCTAATGGCTGAGTGGAGAATGTGACCAACACCTTGTGCAATTTGCCCGTCTAGAACACAGTCAAGACATACTGAAGATGTACTTGCACAAAATACTTAGACTGTATTCCTCTTTTGTGTGAATAAAGAAATTTAGATTGACACTACTATCTTACACGGCCCCTGTGGGAAAGAAAAAGTAATCAGGAAAAAATGCCAATACATTTATTTCACTTTTATATTGTTGAATTTGGTTCAGCATAAGTAGGTATGGGATAATAGGCAGGCGCATCCTTCACAAACTTTGACTCTGATTTCATCCACTGTTCTTTATTCATTAAATAATGAGCCTAAGGAAAAGTAGCATTGTCATATAATATGCTGTAATACACACTGGATTTTTTTTCTTTTGATTGGAGATCTACATGTTGTCATGGTTTGATGTGGAGGGGGGGCTGGTTCTGGTGGCAGGAGAGGGGTTTTGCTCCCTGCGACCTCCCCGGTTTTGGAACCGGGTTAGGCTTAGTTCTGGCCACCAGATCAGACTGCCATCCCCCTTGGGGTTGAGCCAATAGGGCGCCTCTGCGAATTGCCCTATTTAAGTCAGGACAAAGGGACCGGAAAAGGTGCTTCGCCCAGGATCAAGCAGAGGAGGGAGGAGGGCACTGCCCCCGCTCC